GCAGGGGGTCGGAAGGAATGTCCAGACCAGCACGAGCTTTAGAAGCATGGGCTGTGTCCTCGATAGGTACAACGGCGATAGAGGCTTCCTCGGAAGGAGCAGGGCAGGTTCTCGCACTTAAGGAAACCCCAGCGCGAGTCAATGGGCGAGAAACGCCAGTGGGAACGGTAAAAGTCTTGACAATGGAAGTGTCTTTCGAGGTGGCCTAAAAATAATAATAATAATAATAATCATCATAATAATAGAATAAGGATGAAGCGCGAGGACTAGGGATACTAAGGGAGTTGGAAGTGAGATGTATTTACCTTGGCTCGTTTTGAGGGAGCAGTCGCGGGCACAAATGTGCTGACATCCCGGTCGAGCTTGCGTTTGTCTCGACGGGCTTTGGTAGCTTGGAGGGCTATCACGGGAGCGGTAGTATCTGGCAAAGCCAGAGGGGATAAATTCGCCGTACCACAAGGCTTACCGCGCGCGGTTATGAAAGTGTTCTTAAAAGGTTGAAACGAGGTGTCGCCCTTTAATATAGAACGAGCAGGAACAGGGATTGGCGCGCTGCTTATGAACTGCCTAAAAGAAATTATCACCTCCTTCCAATATGATCTCGTCTTTGCAGCCCATCGCCCCATCCTCAAAGTAGCAGGGACGTGAAGAATTTGGTGATTTCCCAAGAGTTCCGCTTCCTCTGAGTCAAGAAAACGAGAAAAGCCCGAGGCATATGTGTTGTGGTCCTGGCGAGCTCCATAGCCGTAATCCCGAGAAAGGCCCTGTTCATACCCAAATTGTCGAGCTACCCTGTGGGGATTGTAGACTTTTCCTACCCCAGAGTGAGGAGGGAATAGAGCAGGAAGGTAGCCTGGTAAAGACATGGCAAGGATGGTCAATGCTGGAGTGCACCTCAGAGACCTGCCTGAAATGATCATGCCGTCCTTTGAAGCACAACAATCAACACGAGGGCCGTGAATATAAGGGCGAGCCACGAAGCAACTCTCCCTGTCAATGTACTCGGCCAGCTTTTTCTTCGTACTATGCTTATGCCACTGAGCAGACCGTTTTAGGCCACTGTCTCGAGGTAGCGTGTCAGGGCGAGGACCATACTTTGGGAAATGCTCGAACAAGAACATTTGAAGGAAAATTGCGTTAACAGGAGAGACCACACTCATACGACCCACAGAGCGCTCCATACGAGCATATGCTAAGTCGAGCTCGTGGTAAAGTGTACCCAGGAATAGCGCGGCCAAGGGAAAACTTTTGCCGTAAGCTAATCTGACAGCCAAAGGGATGAGGTCGGGGCAAGGCCCATCATCAAGAGGGCCTGGAAAGATGAATCTAGACAACCAAGACAAGAGGAAGGCAGCGAGGCGAGCTGAGTCCTTGCACTTGGGACCACTGAAGGATTCCTCTCCTTCTTAGCCCCCGGCGGGGGGGGCGGGGGGAGTCTCGAAAGTAATAACGGAGGAGTGACACAAAAGTGCACTTCTTTCCTGTTTCTGGAAACTCCTTGTGAAGACCATCATCTTGATAGCGCGAGGCAATCTTCCCCGCAGAGGTAAGGCCCCCCTGAAGCTTCGCCGCAAGCTTAACCTCATCTTCAGGGATGGACCAAGAGCTAGGGTCGTGCTCACCAAACACGTTCAAACACATAAGCTGGACCACGTCTTCCAAAGTAGGGGTAAATTCCCCCCAAGAGGTAACAAAGGTGTGGGTATCTCAACTCCACCGAGACAAGAGGAGCGCAAGGTCGTAAATGTCTCGCGGTATGGTCAGTTCCCAGGTGTTGCGAATAGCGTCTGTAATTTTTCAAAAACTGCAAGATTTTGGAAAACTCGACATCAGACAGGATGGCATCTGTCCATGAGTCCCACCCGCGTCCGCGACCAGTCTGACTCGTAAAAGCAAGACTCGAGTGAGGGAAGTCGTCGCGCTCTACCCTTAATCGCAAAATCGAGCTAGGCTGGATGGGAACTCCAGTGGATGCATAGGGCTCGCCCTCAAACAGAAAAGTGCCCTCTTGAACCTCGTCCACCTCACTCAGCATGTCACTATTCGCCCAAAAGGTATAATTCGAACCAAAATAAGGGGCAACTCGCCATTCGGCCAAAGGAGGGACATCGGGAACATCATCGCGAGCTGTCATGACTCTTAACTAAAAAAAAATTCTTTTGAGGAGAGGGCTTTGAGTGTTCTTTATGCCTTGGATAAATGAAGTATGGCTTAAATAGTTAGGGATTGGGCATCCCAAACGCCGCGCCCCTGACAAATGAAAAGAAGTACCTCGAAAGTCGAAACGCCATGATCTGACATACTAATAAAAAGTCGACACGTGGATCGGGGAAGTCGAGGCGATGTGACCCCTCGATTCCAAGGCATAATTATAACAATATAAAATAAAGAGTAAAGCTTTAATGGCTTACTCAAGCTCCCCTCTCGGCGACCTCGAGCAGGGGGGCAAAATGTTGATGATCGCGCCATGCTGGCTATCCAAGTGGCGCCACCTCTGAAAATAAGCACACCTGGCTAATACTTATTTGGCATGCCTCACCCCTGAAGGGACCAAGTATCCTCGAGCTACTTGTCCTGCGACTCGACTCGCTGAAGGAGGAGGGGGTCGCTACCCCTCCTCGCCCAAGGACGCGCCCCGCTCTAATTGGATAGGCCCATCCTTCCTGTTCTTCCGAGGTCACTACCTGCTAAAGCGACCTCGACGATTCCTGCTCTTCCGTGGTCACTCCCCGCCGGAGTGACCTCGAGCTTCCTGCTCTGTGAACCCCTCCCTTTACGGATAGAGGGACCTAGAGATGTTGTTGGAATGTGGCCTTGAGAGGTTAAGAAGGCAGAATCTCGGAGAAGGCCCATTCCTATACAGAGTTCGGGAATCTGAGGGTATGTGGACACGTGGCTGAGATCCAAGGCACCGCCTCGGTCCGAGGCCAATGCAAGGGGGAAAGGATATTCGGTACTCGAGCTCGAGCTACGGGTAATAAAGAGAGCATTAATTACGAAAGACATTTGACAAGATTTGCATTAATTAAGGAGCGCCATTACCCCTTTGGACTGGGGGGCAAAGCGCCACGGTTCATCCGTCAACATCCCATTTGTCTAGAGGGGGAGACCCGTAAACCCTAGGATAAAGTCGGGCTCGCCCAAAAGACCAAGGGACATTATCCGAGGAAGTAAGCACTATAAATAAGAGCATTAATCAGCTTTTAAGAAGGCAACAACCACCACTCTAGAACTTTGAACAGTCAAGCTTGAGCTTATTGGATACCGAGATCGACCTTCCCTTTCTTAATCTTCACTATCGAAGAGTCCCTTGTGTTGCTTAGATCTCCACTTGGATGCTGATCTCAGATCTCCTGGCTTACGTGGAACGATCTCCCCATCCTACTAAGGACAACCTTCAACACAAGCTAATCACATAACTGTAACACAGGAAGGCACCCATGGACTGAATGCTTCAAATGTAATCCGGGAAGATGCTCTGCTATAGAGATCAATCTCTACGGCCCTAGGCAAGGGCTCCTGATGGTTTGGTAAATACAAATCCCAGCATTGTTATTGAACTGATTTAAGGGTTATAATTTCTCCCATAAATAAAGCAGACACCTGAGTTCATCCTTTGGGAAATCTCAATTTTGCCTAAGAGAAGCAAACAGATACAGAGACTTTCTTGCCAATGAAGAAAACCTCAACCTCCAGAGTTTGCTTCTTCTAACAAGAACCCCCAAGTGCTCACCCTAACTTCTCAAAGAAGAAATCAATGGAGTTGTCCTCCTGGGAGTGTAGCCCCCTTGGCAAATAGAAAAGAAGAAAAGCTCACGTCTTTTTGCGAATGCCTTCCGTGGCAAGGAAGAAAACCCCATTAATTATAATAGTTTGGTCCCAAGATTTGATATATACCATGGAAAGCCCTGCCAAAGAGGTTGGTGTTACGGGCTTCCTAGGTCAACCACTGCAACATATAATAATCAATAAATTTTGCCTCTCATACAAGCTCCTAGAAAGTTGTTACCATTTAGCTGTTACAAAATAAAAGCTTGCCAACATCACTTATAAACAGACTTCCTGTCATATCACTCGTATGGTGATATAATAGGGACGGAGCCAGAATTATTCATTTGGGGTAAACTAGTAATATGGAATTAAATTAAAAAAATTATAAAATAATTGTATTTATTTTTCTTTACTTTTGATGTATTATATGCTAAAAATTTCTCTAAGCTAAATCCTTATGACCTTTAGATGTTAAGAGGCTGACCTCACAATAATGGTGCATGGAATAGCAACATTATCAGACATCTTCACAGGTGTGCCATGTTGGTCCCTTAATGGTTCACACATGCAAACCCTTGATCCTCGACTTCACCTTAGGCTAAGGCTATCTTCATAACCACAAATCCCCCACCGCACATTGATTTTCTCCTGCTCCTATTATTATCTCGACCTCTATCTACATCACCTCTCTCCGTGTCATCTTGGCCTCCATCTAAGCCGCCTTCAAGAGTATGCACCCTAGTATCTTATGCATGATTGGGTCAGGATCAGGGTCCATTGAGTTCCTTGAACTCTCCAAGTTTTTATCGCATTCCCCTTTTAGATCCTAGGATTTTGTGTCTTGAAGGCCAAAATGAAGATCACTGAGGCAAATTTTCAACCAGGCTTCTCCACTCAAGTGTTTCACTGCATGTTCCAGCCATCATCAGTTGTCCTCCGAACCCCTAAGACTCCCGCAAAATAGTGGGCTCCCCTATCTCATGGCACAGTTCTAATAAGATAAAGAAGATGCAGTGACCTCCACATTCCTTGCTACAGCAAAGGAATATATCCATATAGCATATGTGTCACACAACTACTTAACCTTGTATTAATTTGCATGTGATTCTATATGAGTATTTATCAAAATTCTAACATTTAAACTTCTTCAAAAATATTATTCATTAGGAAAAATGTTTGAACTTAATATTTTGATCGCAAGTTCTGAAAAGGAATTCAGTTCTTCTCACCTCAAGAGCCTCGGAGTTATAAAAGAAATGCCATGTGCATGCACAAAACGCTCCACCAAGTAGGGGTACCTAAACCAGTGAACACAATATATAAAGAATGAGTAGGTAGAGGAAGTTATAATTTGAAATTAAATTCAGTAGGTAGAGGAAGTAATAATTTGAAACGAGATACCTATAAGAAGTTACTTTACTGTTCTATCATTGGCAATTTAAAAGCATCATTGCATATCTTATGTAATTTTATACATTTAACTGAGCATAATTTGCAATCAGTAAACAATTAAGATATTCATGGCTCCTTTTGAAAGTAAATCCACTAAAATGAAATAATTTTTCCCAACTAAATTAAGTTATGCTTTACATTCTGTCACTCGAAGAGATTTAACCTAGGGAAAGCCATACGCACAATGTTTCAAGCTATATTATTAGATTTAGCAGACCAAGAGAAATCGTAAAAATCTGTTACATGGACTCTTCTATTCCCCTCAACATATTCATGCCAACACAACAAGACATGGATACGGGATATGTTTCTGACACATGTATCCAAATGGAATAGTTGAATCCTCTACATACAATGATGGAAGAAGAAATTCCAAACTTGATAATAAATATCTCAGATAGATGCAATCCCTTTTTTCACCATATTTCATTTAATTTAAATTATAGTTGAGTATATTTTTATAGAATAACAACATTTTTATAGAATAACCCTTAAACCCTAACATTCTTGCCATGAAAAAATAAAATAAAATAATTAACATTATACGATCCGCTATTATATAGAATATATGTCCTTAAGTGTGCAAGACATAATTTAGCAAAAAAAAAAAAAGGTGTGCAAGACATGTCCATATACCCTTACACACATTTTGGACACAGTTAAACCAAGTTCTCATATCATAATATCTAGGATTTAAGGACGCCTGAAACTTAGACATATACCCATATTCGATACCTGTATGCGAGTCCATGACTCCATGTAACATAAAGAAGGCCATATTTTTAATTGTCGCATGTGAAATTCCATTTTTTCTAGGTGTGTATTGTATGGACTTCATGTGGAGGTTGATCACTTGCTTTGGGGTTGTAACTATTCTGGAGAACTGTGATGCTGCCTTGCTGATGTTCTGAAGTGGAAAGTACAGAGATCTGATTCTATTTTGGGAGTGGTTCATGCTTTTGCTCAGCAATTTACAGTCAAGAACCAGAGACACAAATTGTTTAACATGGTGTTTACAACCACACTTTACTACATATGGTCTGAAAGAAATGGAAGAATCCATGGATATGCTCCTAGAGTGCCTGCCTTGCTTGTTATGACATGGCCACAATCACTGCTCATTTTTCGGTGGCCATTAATGTTGGTTCACTTTGCAACTGTTTTACTGCCCACCCACTTTGCTTTTGCATTTTTTCTTACCATAGTGTCTTGATTCAAGGCTATATTTAAGGAAAGATGTCTCCTATCTTCAGCTATAAATAGGAACGAAGAAGATGAAGGCAAAAAACACAAAAACACACAAGCTCAATAGCTCAGACAAAGAGCAGAGCAGAGTGAGAGATAAGAGAGGAAGAAAAAGAGAGAAATACAGTGTGAGTATTTTTCAGAGAGTGAGCAAGAAAACACAAAGTGTATTTTTCAGAAGAGAGAGACACACGATGTATGCGTGTGTGGGATCTGCTGATCCACATCTTGTAATTACTCAGCAGATATAGTGAATTTCTGGTGCGCGCCGTGGACGTAGGCATAATTGGCCGAACCACATATAATTCTTGTCTTGTGTTTCTGTGCATGTTATTGTGAGTATTGACCCCAGGGTCCTAAAGAAATTAGTTGTGTCTAATTTCCTAACATTGCTAACCAAATGTATTGTGTGGGATGTCTTGGGGGTAAGCCTCCAAGATGTCATATGATAGGCTAGTTTTAGTTGAGTTTCTGTGCAGCAAGGGTATGCCCTTGCTTTTTTTGTTCTCCCTTTGGTTTATGGGCTTTTCCATGTGAGGGTATGCCCTCATTGTTGTAATTGTACAAAATTTCTTTATCTATAAAATTTTCCTCCACTCAGGAAAAAAAATAAATTGTTATGATGATGATCTTTGATGACTCATATTACTTTCCAAAGATTCCATTTTGCAATTACCCATTCCAGAAATTAAAGCTGTGATTTCAAATGCTATGGCAACCTGAATGGGATGAATTTCATCCAATGCTCATCCATGAGATCGCTGCCAGATATGACGTGATATTTACACGCAGAGAGTGAAGAAAATTTGACAACGTACCATTCTTAATGTCGTGGCAGCTTAACAAAAAATAAATTATTAAGCAATGAAGTGGTATTGATGAACACTTCCTATAAATCTTGGACAAAATATAAAATTTCATCACCAGACACAGACTTGTTTAAACATAAATGACAATACACAAAAAATGAAGGCAAAAATAGCAATCATAAATTAGAAACAATGAATGACATGTGAACTGAACAAAATGAATAAGGCTGAGAAGAAGACTCACCATACCCCAAGAGAGGCCCTTCCATGATTCATACCCAGATTTCTCCCCATATTGCCACACCAATGCCATTGCCGTTATCCTTCCAAATGAAGAATTCCAAAATTAGCAAAACAACTTCAACTTTGAATATATATATATATATATATATATATGTCGAGAAATAAACAGAGTGAGTCTTTTCACCATTCTACGACGCTGGAGACATGAATAGCCCAGGTGGGCAATGAGAGCGCATTTGCGGGTTCGTCGAGTTGCAAAGAAGAACCCAACAATGGCAATTGAGCAGCAGTGGCGGATCCCACTAGGGTTAGCGCAAACCCAGCTCCCAAAAGAGCAGCTATGGCTTTTTTGTTCTGAAATATAGCATTGATGATGATGGGTTTTAGCGTATGGTTTCGTTGAGTTGCAGCTTCACGGTATGGTGATGTGATGGGAAATGAAAGATGGGTTTGTGTGGGTTTTCGAGGAGAAATGGGTATTGAAGAAAACAGGAAGGTTGGGGACGACATAGTTTGGTTTTTGCTCCGGATAATTTTTGGAGTCCGCGTCAGACGAGCAAGTGAGGTCCAATTCCAAAGCAGATTTGCAGGTGGCTGATTTCGAAATTTGCTAATAGATTGAGGCCGTTTTGCTAATAAAAGTTTATACTACTTCTGGACGGAAATAAAAGGAAAGGAAAGAAATGGAGAGAAAATAAATGAAAATGAGAGGAAGGAATTAATATCCTCAAATTAAATAGAAAGGAAAAGTGAAGAAGACTGAAAAAAAATAAAAATAAAAAATTAATGAGAGCTGTTTATACATGTTGTGAAATGTAATCACAAGGAATTGTCTTAATCGTCAAATTTTCATCTATTACGCAATAAAAGGCTTCACTTCCTACTTGGTTTTAATCCTCCATATGTATCTTCAATTTTGCTGCAAATAATCCTCCATATGTATCTTCAATTTTGCTGCAAATTTCACACTAAAATTACAATCCTCTGAGAATTTCCAAACTCTTTATCTTCACCACCTGATTGATTGAAATTTGCAAGATCAAATCTGCATTGCTTTCAGGAAAAAAATATTACATTATTTGCTCATTCAGGTAGCCTGCACTCTTTGAACATTTGCCATCCTCCAACTACAAGAGAGAGATTATACCCTGCCATGGCTTCCAATAGCAACTTCCCAAAAATGCCCAGTTTCAACTTCACACAAACTTCCTTTCCAGTTTTACAAATTAGCCCACAACACTCCGCGACACTCCTTTTAGTAGGAGTTCAAATGCCTCTTGTAGGAATGATTTCAAGATGAAATGGCTTCAAGTCCTTGATAAACCTGAGTGAATTCACCATTTCCTAGTTAAAAAGTTTACTTCTTTAGTTCTTAATCTATTCCTCCATTACTCTTCAAAAACAGTGGCCATTGATACCTTGTTTGCATTTTGCCAATAGAACATTCAAAGGAAGAGATATCAAGCTTACAAGTGTTCAGCAATATTCCTTTCAAGGCATGAAAATTTTATTCACATGCTCACACACACACACATATAAATTACTACATTTTCCTTCAACAGAGGGAAGGAAAAAAGAGCTAAAGTAAAAGAAAGAAGCTGGTTTTGCCACTACAAAGAATTCTAGACGATTTCAGATCCTTATGAAGTCCCCTCTATAAATTCTCCTTTTACCCTTTTCCCCCCTTCTATCAAATATTAGTATGAACAGTGCTTAAAGAAACATCTTCCAGTCTTCTGTAATGGATATCCAACAATACCACCACATAACGCCTTCAAATGGCACCATCTTTAAGTGCCTTATTGCAGTTTTCTGCGAGGATGTGAACCTTCGCACAGCAAATAGCCTAACAAATATATTTGTCAGCTTCTGCTGGCAGGAATTATTTCATCACGTTTCTATTCTTTTCTCTTAGCCCACAGCATGACAAGAGAGAATCCCATCAGCGACATGATTACAACCTGCAAAACAATAGAGACAGTGGTTATTGTTCAAAATGTTACCAAATCATTTATACCTGATATTCTGGAAGCCAATTATTAAAAAAGACGAGACAGAAAAACATAAGTAAAAGGTTCATGGAATATTTTTTTCTAGAATTGAACCCACGACACACTCTCCCCTTCAGAAACCACTATGCCACAACAGTTATTCATTAATGTAATCTCTTATGATCAATAATTTCTAAAATATAGTCCTCTATATAGCCATCTCATATTTTCTTAGTCATCATACAAGTTCAACATCTCACGTCTTAAAAGGCTTAATCGAATAAACAATACGAGTTACCTCATGCATCTTCCTAAACCCTGCTAAATCCCCAATTACATCAACTGAGCCTCCTCCCAAGTACATGTTTTGAATTCCCTCTATCCACGAGTATATCTCAGCACAAGTTTCATTGCCTTCCCCTTTTTCTATGCAGTGTTATTCACCATATTGTTTCTCACTGACATTAGCCATATTGTTTCTCATTGAAATTAGGTTATGATGTGAGAATGCAAGATATAGATGAGATACCTTGAATACATGATCAGTGTGTGTGTGTGTGTGTGTGTGTGTGTGTGTGTGTGTAATACAACATTAGCAAAGCAGGATTAACTGACAATAAAGATAACTAGAATCTGAATCATCCAATCATTTTAACACCTTCAAAGATTTACCCACTCAATCACCTCCATTTCCAAAAGAACATGGGGAAGGACCCATTACCATAGGTCCATAGGCATCAATATCAACCCACAACTAGATAGTCGGTCGAGTCATTATATAATGAAGTCATATTTCTTATCGCTTATATGAGGGACTAAAACCTCTGCTACAGTACAAAAGATCACAAGTTTTGCACCAGCTTTCATTGTTGGAAAAACAATGTAAACAATTGGTTATAAACCATATCATTAACTTACAGAGATTGCCGGAGGCACAGACACTAGTGGATCTTCAAAAAACCTATTTGCAAGTGCAAGGGCCAGAAGACTGCTCTGCATTCCTGCAAGAGAGGAGAGAGGGATGAGGATTACTTAGCTATAATAATATAATCTACCTATATTATATTGAATGAAGAAGTGTCAAACCTGTCTCATAGGATAATGTTCTTTGAAGCGCTTTCACATCAGGTGTGTCGCGGAAGACAAGGCCAGAAAGGACATAACCAGCAACAAATGCGGACAAGTGAAATGCAATGACAAGCAACACCACAGATAATCCAAATGGGGACATAACAGAATCTATGTTAATAGCAAGTGGTGCTCCAACACAAAGAGCTGTCACGAATACTGATAGTGGAGGCAAAAATGGCCGAATAGCATTACAAACTTGGGGAAATAATCTGTAACCCAAAAAGAATGCAAGACAGGTGAGAACTTATTGAAGTTATCTGACCTGGGAAAAAAAAAAAAAAAAAATTTGTGCACCTGTTCAAAAGCAAGCCAGCAGCAATGGGTGCAACTACAATCTGCAGAATACTGGACACCATTCCTTTTACATCTACAGGCAACCTCTTTCCAATAAGCAACAGAGATAAGATTGGGGTGACAAACACCGCAGTAGCAGTAGACAATGATGTCATCACAATGCTTAGAGGGGCCATTGGTGGGTCTGTTAGAAAAGTAGCATAATTTGATAGTTGTGCCCCACTGACACAAGAAGCCAACATGATCCCAGCACCTGATTCATAGATTTACAAAAGTTAGCATAGAGTCACCTATTTTGTGATATAAAGATAAACTGTTCCTTACCTAAGGAAGTTGGGAGACCAAATATTGTCATTGAAATTGTGCCAAACAGATAACCAAGGAAGGGCTTTACAACAAACTGGCCAACATAACCAGCAAAAATAGCTGCTGGTCTTTTGAATGCTTCAAGAAAATCTTTTTCACTTGAATTAACACCCACAGCAAACATCAAGAAACCTAATGCTGGGGCATAGTACCTAGAAACAGTTCATAGAAGTATTACAGAATTAAATTGGCACAAAACTTCAATTCATTTTTACTTTCTTTATTGCGTACGATCGCCCCTGTGCAACAACTAAGTTGACTCCATCTTACGAAGTCAGAAATTACATTTACATTCCTGTACCTCATTAGTTGCACCAGGGAGTTTCATATGCAGTCGAATCTAATATATCCTCTTCATGTTCCTGAGGTAAAGGTGAAAGCACCAAAGCAATTTTCTGAACACTAATATAAATAAACACAAACTTATATATAGTTTTGCTGCACTTAATTCATTCTTTTCTCTTTCACGAGGAGGTTAAAGTTAATCAATATGCAACAACTATAAAGATATAATTATGAAGCAAATTCATCCCCATAAGGTTTTATAGCATCTGAAATGAGTATCAGCCAATGAATATATATTTTTGGAGCAAAGTCATTCCATGAGCTCTTATAGCATTAGGATGAATCTCTGCCCATGGAAGCATAGGAGTAGGATTGTGCACAGGATCATTTTTGTGGTTTTTCTATCCACCAAGCAAAAAGGTAAATTTTCTCATTATAGGAAATCGCTTTAGAAGAAATTCCTGAAAATATTGCATGATTAAACCAGCGGCAGAAGGAACATTCTTCCACATAAGATGCTCTCAGATGCAACAGAACATGCAAATGGACACAATCAATTTATTCATCTAATAAATTTTCAACAACCTGTTAGTAAACCATGTGAATGAAGGTGGATATATAAGAGCCAAAATTGTACTGGCAAGGACTACTTGAGGTAGAACAGAATTGGCTCCCTTCAAGATCTTAAAAAATGTACCTTCCTTGTTCTTCAGAACCTGAAACAGAACAAATAAAACTATAATCAAGGTGAGGACTATAATACTTTGCAAATGCCTTACATTAATTAATGAATAAAAATATCGACTCTTGCCATATACCAACAAAGAACACATAAACATCTATTTTCAGTTAGTATTATTTTCCTTTTCCCAGGCGGAGAGAGGTAGACAGTTCCCTCCAGTCTCCAAGTATGTCTATTTACGGTGCTTGTGCTACCAAACTATCTATTCATCTTTAGTTTTTAATGCTAAATAAAATGGTACCACCAACTACAATGGATCCCCATTGTGCAACACCAATTACTCCTCACAACGCACTGGAACTTATACAACCAGACCGGTAGGGGTTTCACAGCTTAGGCACTGCTCAGTAATGCTTTTAAGTCCTTTTAGTAAGTAAAAAAGCAAACACCATATTTCATTGAGTATTGCAGAATTGTGAATGTTGAGATGAATGTGCGACAAGAAAAGTATACATAAAATTAGAAATAACAGCACCCATTGAAGATAAAACGAGAAAAAATCAGTTAAGATGGTTTGGAAATGTACAAAGATGACCATTCTAGTTAAGAGGAGTGACATGGTACACATTGAGGATAATACTAGGGAAAGGGAAGATTAAATTGTATCATGGTATACTTTGTAAAGAAAGATATGACAAAATATCGTTTAATTGTGGCGATGGGTGTAGATAGAGCATCATGAAAAAATATGATTTATGCAGCCGACCCAAGTAATTTAGCTTTGCCGAGTTGAGTTGCATGAATGAGTTTTTATGCATATATAGGCATGTACGTGTATGCTTATTTGGGCACATCATAGGAATGTATAAGCTAGCATAGATTATTTGTATGTAGGGGTATATCTACAAGAGAATAGTAATATATATGAACATATATTGGTATATAGGCACTTAGGGACTACATAAAGACATTTATACATATTAAAACTATATGATTTTATATTAGTATATAGAAGTGAATATCGCTGTGTTATCTCAGTTTTTCTAAATGCATGAAGTACCCCTGTTGGACACAACACCTAGTTACTCATATGGGATATGCATCCAACAATGTCCGCTTAGAATTACCTAAGCAACCCTAGAAACTGAACCTGTTGTGTTTCGGTCCCTGTACATAGAGGGGCTAAGGGAATTACCAAACGAAGAAACCACAGAATAGAGGCTTGAGCCACGTCATCTGCCACTAATTGTAAAAATGCCATCTCTCTCTTCCCGGCAGATTGATTCTGCCATTGTGAATGTTGTTAACATAGTAAAGCGCATGCAACGATCTTTATTGTGCTAAGTCTGGTAGGCCTCAAGATCACGGCGATGTTGAGATGCATTGCCGTGCTCTGGCTCAGCCATCACATGCTCAAGAGTCTACAAGACTTCTTGCTCATTGAGGAGATATTGGATCATTCGGCACCAGATGTCATATGTAATAATTCAGAAATTGTACATAAAACTCTCTTATTATGTTCTTTTTACTGTATTAATGCTTCAAAAAGAGTGAAGTACCCAAATTAAATAATAAAGAGGTAGCATAGATAGATAGACGAGAGATGTGATGTTATTCAAGCAAATATTTCAAGCATGTTATAATATTAGTTAGGGCAACAGATATGACCAAAAAAAAAAGGAAAATTTATTGAGCAATTGATTGAAAAATATGTATATAATTGAGCAATGTGTGTAAAATTAGAGGGTCACTTGGGTTGGTTCAGGAACATGATTGGGGGATTGATCAGGATCAAACGCATCTGAGAACTTATCCGACACCCGTCCTCTGACTAATAGTCTTGATCTCCAACCTAAAATTCACCAAAACAAATACTCAAAATGCACATACATACAGATATATATATATATATATATATATATATATATATATATATATATATAAGAACAACCATTAACGAAGAATAACAAAAAAAAAAAAATCCAAGCTTATGTTAACAAGCTCAAATTAGAGAGTATCGGAAAACTTACATGGAGAAACCAAATCAATAGGATTCAGAAACCCTAGAGAATGCTCGTCTGCTATGCGAACAAGTAGAATCGAACCATCAAACAAAAGTAGTAGAAAGAAGCTTCATAGTCATTAAATTATTTCATAATAGACATACAAATGTGTGTATAGAGAGAGAGAATAGGTTCACCTGATGAGGAGTTGAGACATTTTCGCGCGAATACATGAAGCGGATGTTGATGTTTGATACGAAGATCCCTAAGGAGCGGAGGTGAGAATGAAGGTTGATGATGATGATGGATGTGCAACTGTTGGTGTTGAAGAAGCTGGCGGCTGAGATTCATTTGAGAAACGGCGGCAACTAACTACTCTTGCTTTTCCGGCTCAATTCAGTACTATTCAATTTCAACCATCCCACTCATTCCAGTTTCCTCTAACAAACTCAATATTATACAGCTACTGTACATATAGTAGAAACGGCTTAATTTTAATTAAGTGATTTTTTTTGTTAATGATATTTAAATTACATCATCAAACACATTCAATGAGAGAATCACATAACTTATTATTCATAATTAATTAGTGATTGAGTTATTAGATAGCACGGTTTAAGTAAATTTTATAATTTTTTTAATTCTTTATTTTTTATTTTCAATATGAAAAATTTAGGCTACAATTATTGAAGAGGGGTTCCCTTTTGGATATAAATCCTATCAATTTTAACAACATGATTAGATGCTACTGTTAAAAACATTTTATAACACCTAACACTTTTAACTTACGAATTATATATTCTCAATTCATTGAGTACTAGTTTGATAGGCATGAATAAAATTAATGGGAATAGAATGAAGTTGAGAATGAGAATATAATGAAATAGTCATTCTCATTCTCATATTTGATTGCAAATATGAAATGATGTTGGAATGAATCGATAATCACACTTTTAAGTGATGGTGGTGGTGGCGGCGGCAATAGGAAACGATGGCAGTGGAGACAACGGTGGTAGAAGGAGAAGGGGTGGCAGAAAGGGGGGGTGGCAGTAGCAGTGGTGGAGGAATGTGGTGACATAAGGCGGTAGTTGTGGTGGTGGTGGATTATAGTGGCAGCAAAAAATTTCATTTCTTAGAATGAATTTTCATTTCATTTGTTTAGATATTAAATGAATTTTCATTATAAAGTGTTGACCCTACGGATTTCTCCTAAGGGCAATTCGGTACTTTTGATGATAACAAACCATTAATGATGTTCAATGGACTAATGTTTTCATTGAAATTCAATTCCATATCAAAAGGAACATTATAAGGACAGGAAGGAAGTATCCAACTCACTGAAGCTAAAATCACACTGGAACATTCATCAAGATACAACCGGCTCAAGGAAGTGTACGTAACTTCAAAGATCATAAAAGCCTATCTATGGGGTAGACAGGTTGGTGAGTGATTTAGGAACTAAATGTAAAGAATCTATGAGATCATCTGAAGCTCTTTGTAAGATCATTCATCTCTCACACACTTCAGATCATCACACTCATGCATATCAAAGTTCAAATCATTAACACTAAGTATCTAAACCTTGAGGCATCACACAGCAGCAATCAAATAGGTTAAGATTGAACTCAGCCGACTCAGTCAGCAATCCAGCCGACTGGATTAGGCCGAGACTCAACAAATTCAGGAAGGTAACTCAGTCGGCTCAATTAACAAATCAGCCGGCTCAGTTCACAACTGAGCCGACTCAGTTTGAAAATTCAGTCGACTTAGTTAGGCCGAGGTTATGCATTTTGAAAATCTTGAATTTATCCAACTTAGCCGACTTGGTTATTAACCAAGTCGACTTGTTCTTGAACCCAACCCAGCCGACTTAGTTGATGGTCAACCAGATCTGCATTGAAATCCTCCATATTTCAACCCGTGCTTCTCTTTATGCTTTTACAGTTTGACTCACATGGGTTCACTGACATATTGTGTGTCTTCTAGCTCTTGTCTTGATGTCAACAGCCATTTTATCTATTAAAGGATCATACACATGATTTCAAATCTTATCTGCCCTATGCACTGAACACTTCTGTCAGACAAGGAATCTCTGTTATAGGAAGCTTCTCTACCAAATGTGCCATGACAAGTCTTAATCAAGAAAAGGACTTTCAACGGCTAAGTCAAGGGCTTACAACGTTTATGGTCTATGAAAAAGCTTTATAAATGTTATGAGAAGTAAGCTGCAAAAGACAAGTCTCCAAGCCTCATTTTCAACAAGTGATTCATATCATCTCACTGAGAAAGAAAGTTTGGTTACCCTCCACTCTTTAATTCTCAAAGCTAAACTTCAGATTTTTCTTTCACACATACTTCATTTAGAGAGAGTGAGCTTTATTTGTATCATTGGATTCTCTAGAAAGAGTGAATTGTAAACTGTGAGAGAAATATTGTTGTAACACACTTATTCATTTCATTGTAAGATTAGGAGAAGAAATTCTCTTAGTCCAATTACTGTAAGGGCTGGTTTGGCCCCTAAGACTTTGAGAGAGCGTCTCTCAGCAGGAATAAACTGTTTCTTTCAAGGTTTGCTCTCCACCCGTAAGGAAGAGCCATATTAGATTGGGAAGTCTCAAGAGGGGTCTTGAGCCGAGGAATAGGAGCTTCCGAACCTCGCTAAAATCGCTGTGTCTATGTTTGTAATATCTCTATCTCTCCCCTTTACATTACTGCTTACATTTATATGCTGATTTATCTAACTTGATTCTGTTATCTCACTATTGCATATCAGCTTAAGTAGTTATTCTAAGAATACTTTTTCAAATCTTTAAATTTGCTTTAGTTGGACAAGGACTCTATTCACCCCCCCTCTAGAGTCCATTATTGGGCAACATAAAGGAATAATCATTCTCATTTTATTTTGTTTGGTAGAAATAAAGGAAGAGGTGTAAAAAGAAAATACGAAGAAATGAACAAACTCCATCTGTTCAGAAGAGATGATACAAAGAAATAAAGGAAAATAGGAGAAATTTTCCATCATTTCTTCTTTATAAATTTTCATCCATCCAAAAGTGGATCATTATAGAATTTTTAAATTAAATACTATCTTAAATTACACAATTTTTATCATTTCAACTACAATATTATACATATTACTGGACTTAATGGTAAAAACAATTTAAAACTTTATTTTTCCTTATTTTCTAAAAAATATAATAAATTGTGAGCTCATTATCTTATCTTCCATCAAAACTAACAAAAACAATGAAAAACACACTCTTTGTAACGACCCGAACCCGAGGGTCCGAATTGCTAACCGGGTCCTTACCTGAACCCTCGGTTAACTAAAAACATTACCGTCCTTTCCTATATCAATACATAATATACGTGTCATCCCAGGATTTATAAATAATAATAATAATAATAAAATGAGATCATAGCTACAAAATATATCAAACGGTCCACTAACCGATCAAAACCTATGGAAAAACGTCGTCTGCCACTTCCTTCCCGTGACTAGAAAAATGTTAAAATGATGAATTGAGCTAAACACTCAGTAGGAAGTGTCTAAAACACACCTCTTATGACCCTGTGAATCCACATAGAGAATATAAAACAAGAGAACGGGATCATATATCGGGAGTCAAGTAAAACCACTGTATTATCAACAAACATACATATCTCAACCAATTACCAAAAGCACCACGTATGCCAATGATGTGCCATGCCATGCAATGTCACTCCCCGTTTCCGAAACCATACCGTTTCAACTTTCAAACCGTTAGTGTAATCCGACCCAAGGCACCTCTAAGGCATTATAAAAGGGGGATTGGCTAACCATCCACAACCACAAGGCACCTCCAAGGCGTCGCATCCGGCTTGGTTAGCTCAACCACACTAGGGTCTCTCCCTAGTCCTCTCTCTAGACCACACTAACACCACGGATCACTAGGAGCCTCCTAGGTGTCCGGGTTTTCGCAAACACTTTTCAAAAACTTTTTCCTAAAACAATTTCATTGGTTTTAAAAATATATACTTTTCCCCTTTTTCTTTCCCAATGGATGCATAAATGCTTCATGATTCCAAATGCCAAATTCAACAACTATATTCTATACATTTTACCCATATCATAATCACAACTTGTAAAAGAATATTTTAAACATTTATTTATACGATTATGACATCAAATTTCTATGGCAATTGAAATACATAAGTAAACAACTTGTTATTTTTAAGCATGCTTCTTTACTATAAGGATGTAACTAAATTTACAAACTCATTTATCACATAGCATACATCCACCACTTTACATATAATCAACCACAATCACATAATCAAAATAATTGAAATTAAACATGCTTATAGTCAATTTAAGAAGGAAAATTCACATAAAACCTAAGAAATTGTGAATTAGAGCACCCCTACCTCAAAAGTAGCCAAAATACATCCCCGGCCGAAAAAGTCAACGTCGGTCAACGGGTGCGGAACAGAAAACTGTTTAGTGGGAACATAGCCGTCGACGAGGAGATTCTACTGTTCCAAAGGCTCAGCTTCGGAATCCGACTCTAAGTGGCCCAAAACCCCCTCCGAAGTCTTAAATCAGAAAATTTCAAAAATTCGTAAAATAATCACTGCACCTCCAAAAATTAAATCATTTTAATATGTGATAGAGAACGACGAGATGAACATTTTCCGTCAAGAAACCAAGACCGGAAGATCAATTGGCCAAAAAATGGAAGAGAACAAAAATGAAGCTTAAAAATAAAGAAAAACAAAAACAAAGAAGCTTGTAGAGAGAGAAACAAATGCTGCATGAGAGAGAGGAAATTCTAGCTGAAAATCGATAAGTGTGGTGATATATAATCACCTTTTATCCAAGCAGGTCCCACGTGTCAAAAAAAAATCTCTTTTGCCTCCTTATATCTATATATACATTATACACACTATAATTGATACAATTATACACACAACCACATAATCATGTTCTAAATAATAATATATGAAGTGGAATAGCCCCGTAAAATAATTCCGTGCACCAACAATACCGGTTGCGGGTCCTGCCCACGACCTCCTGGCCCGAAAAACTAAAAAATGCCTAAATAGCAACCGGTGTATTTCCAAGAGTTCTAAACTCAATGGAACACCCCAACCAACTCTCGGACACACCCACCACACCTTACGCTGTCCGACACGCAAAACGAGAAAAGATGAAATTGCCCTCGTAAAATTAAAAAATTACAAGAAATGAAAAATGGTAAAAATTAAAAATATTACACTCTTCCCCTAGGGACATCCATCAATTATTCTCTCATATTCATCCAATTTTTTTCTTTCCTATCAAACGGAGTATGCATGTCCTAAACATCACACACTTTAACAATTACTCTTTATAGTTTATAGTTTATAATTACATATTTTCAATTTATTGAATACTAATTGTTAATCTTAAATTTCTCTAAGAAGTTTAAGTTTATTTCTAAAATAGTAATACATTTTTTTAGCTTGAAAAATATTTGAATATTTTTTCTTTTCTGAAATATACTAATTGTCTAATCATTGAAACTATAATTTATCAAAATATTAAATATGTTTGAATAGTTAAACAAAATAAAATTAAATGTTGAGCAAAATTTAAGTAATAATTTAAGATTAGTGGTACTCTTTCATCTTTCAAAACAAAAGATGTGCCAAAAAATAAAACTTATTAGTAAGTTTAAAAAAAATTTACCCGTTTGAGATTGCTATTAGAATGATGAAAGCACTTTTATTAGTAGAGCTATTATAAAATTGCTGTCAGTAAAAAACATGTTATGCGTTTGGTGATGAATTGTATAAAACACTTTTTATACTTAAATCACTTTTAAATTTTTTTTGATAAAAATGTTGTTTAAAACACTTTTACTATTGATTTTACTAATAATATCCCTATCTTATATATGTATTTTTCCGTTCTATATAAGATTAATTTTTGCTTACAAAAGAAAAAAATAAAACATCATCAGTATTCATGTTTTATGAAATTCAAATTGTATAAGATTCAAGATATTGAAGTTTAGTTTGACTAATTATAGCTTAATTTTTTCATGAATATACTAATTACTGTTTTATGTGACTTTAATTTTAAATAAAGTTAACTCAATAGTGAAATCCAATTTATTTTCAATTTCCAACATCTCCCAGAATTATTCAGCTGAGCAGGCATGCTTTGTGCATCCATCCTTATCTGGCCATCCAAACCCTTTTTTGGATACACTTGCACATTTTAGAACTTAACTGCGATAGATATTGTAAAATGAACTCACCTAATAAATAGGAAATAATCACAATCAGAATAGAAGTTCCAGAAATAATATTGCTTATTTTTTTTTTAATTCATAAAATAAAATTTACAAGATACTCAAATAGACTAGACCAATAAGATTTCCGATCTAGCTACAGGTGTGTGAATTTTCTTTAATTCCTGGCTGGATGATGGTAAAAATGAACTAAACTTTTAGTAAACAAAACTTCTAATATAATTTGAATTAATATAATTTGAATTTATAATATAAGTTTTTAAAGGGGTGATACTAGATTCGATAACAATAATAATAGTGGTACAGTGGTACAGATATGTGACAGAGTCCCAGACAACACAAATTTGATTTGCAGAATCACTATATATTATTTTTAATAGGGATAAATTGTATTTTAAAAAAATAAAGAGGGATTAAATTGTCTTAAAAAAATATAATTATCTAAAAAAATCTACCTCTATCAAATACGTAATTCTAAAAGTAAACTGCTTTTATAATCAAACTTCTACTATCCAAACGTATTTAGTTTTTTTACCTAATTTTTAAAATTAAAAATACTTTTTAGTGGTCACAAAGGAACATTTTAGTAGTAAAAAAGCAATCCCAAACACGCTCATAATATGTTTTATATTGGCCTCACCAAAAATGTTAAGTGAAGAATGGGTTTAAACAAATTTAAGTAAAGGAAAATTATATATAAATGGAGTCAAAGTTCCATATTTACTTAGAAACTGAGTCAAAGTTCCATATTTCTCTAAAATGGATTGCTGAGGTGGCACATGATTTTTTACTGTTTAGAAAATTATGGTACCTAAAATGCCCTTTCCTAACAAAAAAGTAGTACCTTCAGTTCAAAAAAGTAATACCTTCGGAGAAAAAATAGTACCTTCGCGAGTATTTAAAAAACATGGTACCTGGACGTCAAAAAGTAGTACCTTCAGTTAAAAAAAGTAATACCTTCGAAGAAAAAGTAGTACCTTCGCGGAAGGGTATTTTAGGCACCACAATTTCTAAACAGTAAAAAATTATGTGCCACCTCAGTAATCCATTTTAGAGAAATATGAAACTTTGATTCAACCTCTAAGTAAATATGAAACTTTGTAATTTCCCCTTTAAGTAAAGAGTGAGCTCATGGGTTTAAACAAAATATGTTTTAATCGACAAATCTGAGGATAAAAATAAAAGAACAAATAAAAAAAATGACAAAATCCAAGGCACGCAAGAGGCGGGAGCGGCAGACGTAGGTCGTCAGGAGGGTAGTAAAGACCCGTTCAGCCATCGTAAATTCGTTCATCGATTCATTTTATTTACAATGTTTTAGCAGCTATTGTCAGCCATTGAATATGGGGTTTATCGATCAACTGTCCAGCAGTTGCTACGTTTGATTCATTGGCGATTACATATTGCATAAATGATGAGGACGACGGTGTGGTGCCGCAGTTGAGGTGGAGGGAATGGGGATTTGATGAAATTGAGGGAATCGGTCGGACGGTTGTGCTGGACTAAAGTGGTCTTCACTTTCTGTGGGATGTTGGCCGTTGTTTATCTCAAATGAGTCCGCCCCTTCTTCATATAAGGTATATGTATATATATATATATATATATATATAAATAAAAGTACACACGCACACATTGATTTAGTGTTGCTTTAACTGCTTTTTACAGAATTTCTATACGTATGAGACAATAGTTATACTATCAAAATCTTCTGTAGGATATTTTGTTTACAGTGAGAGATCTGTCATGATTGCACAGCTCGTACTCTTTTTCGGTTTGTATATGTTGGAATTGTCTAATCGGTCTATATGTTTTAGAAGTATCTTTTTCCTTACCAAGAAAAAAGGCTTTGGAAGTACCATTGGACGTAGTTATTTAGTGTCAATTAATTCGTGACTTATTAAGAAAAAATGTCATTAGTTATGCTATGTCATTCATGTTTTGAGGGTGTAATCTGCAATATATAAAAGATATGATGAGAAGAAATCATTATGTTATACATTTATTCAACACAAAACCATACAAAAATGCCGACAGAAATCTAGCCTAGGCATGTAAAGCCATCATCTTTATCACAAAATAAAACAACACACAGCAAAAAATTCACAAGAAATTGAAGTCTAAATTGGGAGATGACCTAAACTAGAATGAAATTTTTTGGGAAACTAAACTTACAGGTGCAAATGCGATTGCCTAATAGGGTTGATGGAGAGAACCCTGCAATTTGGGTTGGATTGACTCGAACAGGTGCAAATGTCATGATCTTTAACTGACTCAAACAAACCTCATGAATCTCGATCTTCAAGGAGAATCAATATGGTGGTCAATGTGGAGTCGGATCTTTAACTAATGATATTTTTTTCTTTCATATATTGGGGAGGTTTACCCAAGTTTTTTTTATTTTTATTTTTGTTTTAATGAAAATCAGGCAGGGTAATTTTTTGGCCATCTCTAATTTTTGACACCTGAAAGCATGCACCGGTAAGTGCATACCTCTGATATTGATGTATCTCACTAAGTGCTTTTGTTTGTCGTGTTATGAGAATCACTTTCCACGGAATAGAATGAAATATATGTATAAAAGATGTGATGTCATGCTTCTGTTACATTGAATATGAAATCATGTTAGCTTTATGATAATTCATTGTCCACACTTTGTTTTAATGTTTGTGGCTGACATGGAAAATTCTTCCCCATAATTTTCATTATATTGCTTACTATTTCTTCATCGGTTTGCACTTCATGGTCATATGCTCTCTGATCTTCATACAATGGACAAACATTCTTTTTAAAGGGGAGACCTATGCTTCACTGGCTTGTGTGGGCCTTGTGTATTTCTTTTTAGTAAGTGACCTTGCATATTAAGAAACGACTGATACTTTATGAAAAAAAAAAAGTTCACATTGCGTGCTAATGTATGTTTTAGAATTTTATTGGATAAATGAGGGGGAAGTGTAACACTCCTGATCTTTAGGTGGATGTTTGTTTCAGGGCAAACAACTGTGCATTTTCTGTCTCCAGTGTCACTTAACTTCGAAAACGTCATAACTCATAACACTGTTGCTACACTGTGAGCTTATAGCAGGATGCATGACCCTGCCATTGCTTGATTTATTGACAAATCTTCTTGGACTATTGGCCAGATGAGAGGCTTTTTGAGGTTGGTGAGTGCCCCCATCTATCAGGGGTTGTGTCTGTTCCTTCTGCCTTCTCAGGAGAAGAGAGTCCTCTACAATCTCCACAGTTATTAACCTATTATACCTGCATGTTTTATGATGCCAATCCTGGTAGTTCACAAGCATCTAATTTTCTTTCCCTTTAATTGGTGGCTCTGTGAGATTGCAGTTGATTTTAATCCTGGACTCAGTTTTGGAACTACAAAAGAGTGAGTGGGGGGTAAACCTTTGAGTTCGCACCGAGCCCAAGACCCAAGAAATCCAATAAACCTCAAACCGCACCATCTCCTATAGGTTTCTCAGTTGTTTGGGTTACTCAGTTTGCATACAAGTTGAGTGAGTTTTTTTGGGTAAATATAAAATGCTTATATACATGAAATAAACATAAATTACCTCTTTATTAAATAATAGAACTATATCCGTGTAACCTGTAATAGAAGTGTTCATACCATGTCATTTTAACTTGTAATAAAAGCAACCAGACAATTTATCACAGCATAAACAATAATTATAACGGTAATAATGACAACTATTCATGTTCCAAAAGGACAATATAACCAAAGGGTAAAATGTGCAACTTTAACCTTAATATATGTAATTAACATACTGTATTAAAAATCTAAAAAAATATGAATTTTTCTTATACTTTGGGTTATTCATGTTGGAGGAACTCTTACCCAAGTCCCATCCAAAATGAATTCAGGGTTCTTAATTTTGGACCAGATCCAAATCTCGAGATCTCAAATATGCTGTGCAATCCCGCCAATTTTTTTGGTTAGGTTCGGGGTACCCAGGTTAGACCCAACCAAGTCCCACCACTTGAGAGGGTTCAATTGACACCACTGATATGAAAAAGATAGGGTCTGTTCTATAATGTTAAAAAATGGTTTTCCTAAAAATGATCTTCTCTGATGTTGTGGAAATTAGAAGGTGGGTCCGATACCTGATCTTGAGAAGTTGTGAGAAAACTTCAGGGAATGTTTTTCTTTATCTTTTGGTTGGGCCATAGAATGGGACAGGCCCTCCTTAACCCTCTCTCAATCCTTTCTCTTTTTCCCTTACTTAATCATACATCTCCCTTAGGTCCAGTTTGGTTGGAGAGAAGTGGAAAGAAAATAAGGGTGGGAAATGGTATGCTGTGTTTGGTGTAAATTTTGAAAGGAAAAGAAAGGAAATGGAGGGATTTGGGGGATACAAATTAGGCATGATGAATAGGATTAGTTATCCTCCCAAAATGGGAGGAAATGGAAGGAAAGAGCTACAAAGTTTAATGAAACTTTTATAATACTGGATTTGCCCATATTTTTATAAAAGACAAAATCTTAATGCCATATGAGTTCCAGGGCATGTTTTTATTCTCTTTAACCTTTATTTGTTTTCAAATTGTCACTTTGGTTTGAATGATGTTTAGTACAATCTTTTTTATTTATCTTACAACTTCTGACTTTTATATTTGTCTTTTAAATCTGAAAGGTATAGTGGTAAATTCATTACAATAATTATCATTTCCTTTCTTTTGCCTTATTAATCAACCAAACAGGATGAGAGGTTAACAGTATCCTTTCCTTTCTTTTCTCTCATAACTAGTGTTATTATTTCTTTTCTTTTAGACATAGCGAAAGGAATTGGCAAGGCATACAAGCCAAGTTTGACGGGTGGCGGTAATATGTTTTTAAAGTTACTCACCTAGTTCCCAATAGCAAATTAAGGAGAAGGGGGAGGGGGGAAGAAGCAAGAAAGAAGGGAGAGGATAGTAGGAGATAATTAAAAGGATTTTTCCTCTTGCAGTAATTATCTTTCTTCAATTAGCAAGTCTAGCATAAAAGTAAGAAAAAGAAACATTATTCAAATTTTACTTATTAGATTGAAAGATTATGATTCCATGTAATGAATTGTTTATTGGGTTAAATTTATAGTCTAGGGTTATTATTTCCAATTTTCCTGCTTACGTTATTTAATAATGCTAAACAAAAATAATTATGACTTGAAATTCACATTTAAGGAGATGCTATATTGGTTCCATATTGTTTCAAACAAAGTACCATATTAAAAATGTCATTATCACATTATTCATGCATATAAATTTTTACTAAAAGCTCCACATGTAAACCATTTTTCCTAATTATTATTAGTTTTTCTGTGATGATGAATTGAAATTGAATTATTTAGGTTTTTATTGTATTAAATTTGTTAGTTCTTGTTAGCTGACCCTACTCAATGAAATTCTTGGTTCTGACCCTGAGCCTGGTAATCTTTCTGCAGCAGTGCTGCAGTCTACCTTTTCTTACTTCCGCTAGCCAAACAATCTATTTAAGGCCATATATTGACATTTTTCTGAAAAATCTTGAAATGATTGAAGTGCTTTATGCAGATATGGTCATGAAGGTTAATGGCAGATCTAACATTTTGTTATTGTTCCACAAAATGACTGTTTTGAGACTTCAACTTGTGTCTTCATGTTTGTCAATTAGAAAATTTTATCATTGCACCAAGCAAGATTGATTTTGGTACTTTGAGAGCCAGAGTGTTCCTTTAAGAGTAACTCTACATCTCATAATTTTTGGGTACCCTTCTCTACAATAGATAACTTCGATAAAGTATACATAGAGACAGGAGATCAAACACAAAAACTCCCTGAATCTAGACACAAGACGGATCTGCATATGTTTTATTTGTATTTGCAAAAAATTAGTCGGGACAAATATATTTATTGATTTTCAATTGTGTGGATGCAAAATAACCGATAGCGAGCCAAACAAATTTAAAATAATGGTTGCATTTCAGATACCCTAAACAAAATGGTATAATACCTCTACATCGCACAGATTTAAGTAAATCAAACTGCAGATTGTATGTGCCCAAGCAAGTGTCAGACATGGGTTGGCACATGTTTCATGTGGACATGTGGTTGTCAAAGTAATGGTGATATCTACTGTCCTTGTGTATCTTAGCCAATATGCCATTGAATCATGTTCACTGAATAGTTTTAATTAGCTGTGGATTCTTAATATTTATTATTGTTATTATTATTTTGTTTGGAGAGGGGAAGGAAGTTTGGTGTTCAGAATTGAACCTGAGATTCAGATCACACTTCCAGTTGCCTGAGATGTGTATCATTTTACATGGTTAGGTTGCTAGTTTTGGGCTGCTGGCAAAGCTGAGAATTATCAGGAATTGGTTTGGTAATGATACGTTTCTCTTCTATCTTGTTGAAGGATTATCCGGTCATCTATTATGTTCATCCCCTTTGATTGCTTGTCTTTTCATTTCCACTACTTGTTTGGTAAATTCTCCCTTTCTTCCTATATATGGTATGATGGAAATGCAACATTAATCCTTTTGTATTGTAGCTGTCTGTTTGTTGATGATGGAAAATCATGAAGGTTTTTCTTGTTTCCTCGAATTCTCCCAACCCAATGAGCATTTTCATATTTTGATTTTGAATTATTTGCAGTGGCGTTCTAATATGATGACTGGTTGATGCATCACATGATCGACACTCCCTCAGCATCACAAATGATCTCCAATGTGGCTGGTTTCTGTGCCGCTATGATTGCTGGTGTACGCAAAAACCCGGCTCAACGCATTACAAAGGGAAGAGAGGTATTACTGCAGTAACCTTTTGATTTGATTATTTGTCTGGGTCGAGGCAGGGAATCATATGCCAACGAAGCAAGGTCAGATTTTCACATTTAAACACGATGTATGGCTGGACAAGGATTTTTCTTTTGTTAACCCACTTCAACTAGTATAGATCAGTGGTATAATTTATATTATGGCACTGAAACACAACGTGGTATGAAATGGAGAGAAAGAGAGATGGTTGATTTACATTTATATAAAAAAAAGTGACTTCAATTTTTGTTTGTTCTATTATAGTTTGTCTTTGCTCTCTCTCTCTGACTTGTCTTCAAAGGTTTAATTTAATGATTTAAATTGTGCGGAAAATATGTATGTTTGGAATGATATATTGTCACTTTGTCTAGAACGAGACCAAATGGATTTTTTCTTCCATCGTGTGTTATCGCTTTCTCCAACATTTAGTGTTGAGATGGCAGCTCATGGAGAGAGACACATCATTCAATGGCAGGAGTCGCCCCATCTTTTTGTTCCCATTCGATGGTCAAAAATCTGTGCCCACTCTCGTCCAAATTAATTGTTGAAAATCTTATTGTTGCATGTGAAGTGATCTGCGGACAATTTTGATATCAAGTGGGTGACAAATGCGACTACAGCTTTCACCTCTTCAATGTGAAATGGTTTATTGATACCTTGAATTCATTATATATTTGTAGCCATTTTGATCATTAAAATTTTAAAACACAATGGTCAAAACTCATAACAGCTTGATTACAAGTGGGTTTTTAGTTACATCTTCTTCGCATGACTTGTGAGTTAATTCAGAGTCGTTACTTTAAACTTTCCTGATAATGATTAATTTTAAAAGTTATGCTATGAAATTGAATTGATGCATTGAAATTTAAAAAATCCAACCAAAACTAAATTTAATATCGGGTCGGTTGACGGGGTATAGACGTCGGTGTCCAAGATGCGTGAGGAGTCCGTCGTAGCGTGGACCATACACAGCAAATGTGTCCGGAAAGACTTTGAACATATATAGTTATATATATATATATATATATATATATATGTATGTACGTACGTATGGAGCAGTGATGTAGGTGACGCTCCTACATAATTCGTTTCGCACACGCACACCACTTGCACTCTATTCAAAACGCTGCATGTTTTATACGCTTTGTGATTGCGTAAATTACCGTCAAAGGCCTAGTCGTCATTTGGAGCCGTATTAAAGTACTTGGCAGTAGTTGTTTTCCATTGGTAGAAGCCAGAAGGGTTCTAAGAGAGAGAAAAATCAAAGGCTGCAGTGCGTCGTCACCCACCGTGAGGAAGTCCACCCCCAATAATTTCCCAACTACTATTAATAGTCTAATAAATATACTACCTACAATTGGCATCTCATCAAATGAGGCTCAAAACTCTCTTTAACGGTATTCAATTATCCAAAACCACAATTGGATGGAATCATTTAAAATAAACAAAATCAAGGTTTCATATATTTAAAGAAGACTATTATGATCAATAAGACAATGACATAGGGATATCAAGTTTTTACTTTTAAAAAAAAAGTTAGGGGTTCGAATCTCTATGTAAATATGTATATGTAAGTACCAATTCTGAAAAAAAGAAAAGAAAAAAAGAAGAGTATTATTAAGTAGTTTAAATGGTAAAGCGTTCAATTCCTCAAGCAAGTGTGTCGAATTCTATTCTCCTACTGATCTGAATTGTTTTCTCTTGTGTAGGCACAAATCAATTCTCATCACCACCCTAAAATCTTATTAGGGTTGATATTAATAGTCATAAACAAAGAAACACAACTTGTCCAACAAGTCTAGTCTTTTGGAAAGTCAAAAATCATCTTGGAAACTAATTTCGCAACTTCACAGGGGAGTTCAACTTGTTGAAGATTAGTTGAACCGGTTGAACTTGACGAAATTATCGTTGAACCGGTTAACATGTAAAGTTGAACGGGTTGAAAAAAGTTGAACTCTTTCAGTAACAAATCTTTTTGAATTGTAACCATATTGAGCGAGCTGAAAAAACTTAAACCAGTCGAAGTCTTTGGGAAAGTAATTCAATAAGTGGTATAACCATCCACAACCTCAACAATAATTATATTTAAGTTTTTATGATATGAATAAATTGGTTTGAGAGCTTTATAAATGTTACTACATATTTAAATAGCATGGTTTAAGAAATTATTCAAAATTCATGTAGAGAATGATTCTAGTTGCATACAAGTATTATAATGAAATATGTATTCCTTGCCCTAATATTTGATATTATTTTGAACTTTTACCATTATTCAAGGGAACATTGTCCTAAACTTTTATCATTACATCACCCATTAATCCCTAATATGAAGGGAAAAAAAGTTCAATGCAATTGAATTTTTTTTCATGATGATTGACTTTGAGAAAAAAAATCTGAAACGAGAAGCTTCGATTCAGTGAAAATCTTTTTTCTTTTATTTTAGAGCAGTAATACATCTTATAAATTTAGAAGATAATATATGACCCACTGAAAGGATGTTTTATCTGCCTTCATTTTTGTTATCTTTTGAGAGTCAATCAACATGAAATGGACTATGTAGGGGCAAAAAGTAATTTAGTAAAAAAGATGAGGGGAAGAAAACTACTAGTTTTTTATTTTTTTTTTAAAGTTTAGAAAACTACTTACCACCAAACAAATTGTACGTTAGCTCCTAAACAAGTTAATTTTTTTAAAAAGAAAATGTTATCTTTACGTTTAAAAAACAGACGAATGTCTTCTCAAAGTCCCTGTCACATTAGACTGAAGAAATTTCAATCCAAAGAAGCTCATCACTTCGGACATTCGACCAACCAACCTCTTTCTTTTACTCTATCTATATATAGAACCTATATATACGCGTGTGTGTGTAACTTCGGTTTTTCACATGAGTCTGTGGTGGTGGTGTTGGGGGTCGTGACCGTGGTGGTGGGGTGGTTGGTGAAGGGAATAAATGCTGTTCAAGAGACAGACCCTACTCGGTGGTGGAGAGATAGAAACAACCCAGCTTTTGTTTTCTTTGCTAAAATGTTAGTGCTACAGTAGTGCGTATGTGCACACACAGTAAATAAGATATACGTAAACACACAGAGAGGGACGCATCACACCACGTGGTCGCGATTGTCTGATTTACAGATCAGTTAGTATTTAATTGTCTCACCGGTTACTCTTTCCAGCCAACAACGCAATTCATCACTCCACAACTTCCCCCTCTTTCATTCCACAACCCTTTCCTTTCTCTCTAAAACTCTCTCTTTTTCTCTCTCTACACACACTTGAAACATACAATTTAGGGTTTTGGTAGACCCAACAAAGCTACCAAAACCCCCCATATCTATGTGTCTTCTCCAATATAAGATCCAAAATGAGAGACACTCTAAAGCTGATTGTGATCTCAGCAAACCTTTTTTTCTTAAATGTGACTCAACGGTGAACATGTTGCTGTTTAGTTGCGATTGCCATTTTCTCATAATCGAAACCAATTTAGATAAAACCAGAAGCTTATGTGTAGAAGCGAAGATCTCTACCTTTCGCAATTCGATCCGGCATTTATGAGACTCTGTTGCGAGTATGAAGAGATTCGGGCTCTGTTTCCCTCGCATTCTCTTCTGGTTCGTTTTCTGTTTTCTGGAGTTCACCGTAGTGTTTCCGGTCACCGAGAAGGAGATCTTGCTTCAATTCAAAGCCGACATTTCGAGTGATCCGTACAACAGCTTGAATTCATGGGATTCAGGTAAAAGCCCTTGTGAGGATTACAAGGGTGTGTTCTGTAATTCCGATGGGAATGTGGTGAAGATTGTGTTGTGGAACACTAGTCTCGCCGGAGTTCTGTCGCCGTCCTTGTCGGGATTGAAAGCTCTCCGGATTATTTCCTTTTTTGGGAATCTATTCACCGGCAACATTCCGTCCGAATACGGGGAGATTCAGACACTCTGGAAGATCAATTTGAGCTCCAATGCCTTATCTGGGTCGATTCCAGAGTTTCTTGGTGATTTGCCCAACATTCGATTTCTTGATTTGTCAAGGAATGGGTATAGTGGAGAGATTCCAAATGCTTTGTTCAACAATTGTAACAAAACCAAGTACATTTCTCTTTCTAGAAATAATCTTTCTGGTTCAATTCCTCTTTCCATAGCAAATTGCTCCAATCTTCTTGGAATTGATTTGTCTTTCAATAATCTTAGTGGAAGCCTGCCCTCACAAATTTGCGATGTTCCGAATTTACTGTACTTATCTTTGGGAAGCAATGTGCTTACCGGAAGTGTTCAAGAACAGATTTCGGCGTGCCAGAGCTTACAACTCTTTGATATTGGAAGCAATTTGTTCACTGGGTTGGCCCCTTTTGGGGTTGTTGGATTGAACAATATTACATATTTCAATGTATCGCATAATAGGTTTGAGGGGCAGATTCCAGAGATTGAAACTTGTAGTGAGAGATTGGAAACTTTGGATGCTGCAGGAAATGATTTGTATGGGGAAATCCCATTGAGCATCAAAAGTTGCAATGTCCTTGAGAAGTTGGACTTGCGGTTTAACAGGCTAAATGGCAGTATACCAACTGAGATTGCGGATTTGAAGAGCCTTGTGGTCATTCGATTGGGGAATAATTCAATAGGTGGAACAATTCCGTCAGAATTTGGGAGCATTGAATTGCTTCAAGTTCTGGATTTGCACAATCTCAACCTTGTTGGTGAAATTCCAGACGATATAAGCAAATGCAGGTTTCTTCTTCAGCTGTGAGTCCAATTACCCTCTTTTTTTTCGATGAATAAGTCCAATTACATCAACATTGCTTAGAATCAAACTTGAACCAATTATGTAATGTTGCTGCAGGGATATTTCTGGTAATGCATTACAAGGAGAAATCCCACAAACCATTTATAACATGTCATACCTTGTACTTCTTGATCTACATCATAACCAGCTCAATGGAAGCATACCATCCAGTATTGGGAATTTGTCAAACCTCAAAGTTTTGGATCTGTCAGAAAATTCACTGTCTGGGCCAATCCCTTTATCATTTGGGAATTTGGCAAATTTAACTCATTTTAATATCTCTTATAACACACTCTCAGGTGAAATTCCTTCGGTAGCTACCATCCAACGTTTTAATTTCTCAGCATTTTTTCACAATCCAGGGCTCTGCGGTGCCCCATTGGACACTCCCTGCTCAGGCAATGGCACTACTTCAGCGTCGGGAAAACCTAAGCTGAGTGTTACTGCCATTGTAGCAATTGTTGCTGCCGCGGTTATTCTTACTGGTGTTTGTGTGATAACCATTGTGAACATCAAGGCTCGCAGAAGTAGAAGAGACGACGAGACAGTGGTTGTGGAGAGCACTCCAGTTGGTTCCACGGATTCAAATGTCATTATTGGGAAGTTGGTTCTCTTCAGCAAAAGTGTGCCCTCAAGGTATGAAGATTGGGAAGCTGGCACCAAAGCTTTGCTTGACAAGGAGTGCCTGATTGGCGGCGGATCAATTGGAACAGTTTACAAAACAAATTTTGAAGGTGGCATCTCAATTGCAGTAAAGAAGCTTGAGACTTTGGGAAGGATGAGAAACCAAGAAGAATTTGAGCACGAGATTGGAAGGTTAGGAAACCTTCAACATCCTAATCTTGTTGCTTTTCAAGGTTACTATTGGTCCTCTAGTATGCAGTTGATTTTATCAGAATTTATTCCGAATGGAAATTTGTATGACAATTTACATGGACTCAATTATCCTGGCACAAGTACTGGTGTCGGCAATAGTGAATTGAATTGGTCTAGGAGGTTTCAGATTGCTCTAGGGACAGCGAGAGCCCTCGCTTACCTCCACCACGACTGTAAACCTCCAGTTCTTCATCTCAACATCAAGTCCACTAATATACTCTTAGATGAAAACTATGAGGGCAAATTGTCTGATTATGGGTTGGGAAAGTTGCTTCCCATGCTCGATAACTATGGTTTAACAAAATTTCACAATGCAGTTGGGTACGTTGCTCCAGAGTTGGCTCAAAGTCTCAGACTGAGCGACAAATGTGATGTTTATAGCTTTGGGGTGATTCTATTAGAGCTGGTTACAGGGAGGAAGCCAGTGGAAAGTCCGGCAGCGAATGAGGTTGTGATTTTGTGTGAATATGTTAGGGGCTTGATAGAGAGTGGCATTGCTTCAGATTGCTTTGATAGAAGCTTGCGCGGTTTTGTAGAGAATGAGTTGATTCAGGTCATGAAGTTGGGATTGATTTGTACTTCTGAGGTGCCTTCCAGGAGACCAAGCATGGCTGAAGTTGTTCAGGTGCTCGAGTCCATCAGATCAGGAGTGGAATAGTAGTAATTAGAATGTAATGGAGGGCCTCTGTTGGACCACCTTTGTGGAGTTGGCAGTGCCTGATACAAGAGATGAAAGATGGTAGTCTAGCAATCAAAGCTGGAATGAAATTTGGGTTGGTGGAAAGAATAGGAGACCATAGTCAATTAGAGCAAAATAACAGCAGAAAAATTCTTTTGTATTCATTTTGAGTTTTTTGAGATTACCATCATCAATTGTTTCTTGTAATTTTCTCAATAAATCATTCATTTTTTTGGTGCATCTCATTTGCAGACACAAGGATTTGATGAAGTTGACTCAAATACAATGTTATTTTTTAGACAAATCACCTCTAATGAAACAGATAACAGGCCTTTTGCGGGCTTCTAAGAATGCCTTTGCCACAATATTTGGATGATTTGATGGAAAGAGTTACCATTTCATGCTTTTATTATCACCGGCCAAGTCTTGGTTGCTACCAAAAGTAATTACAGCCTTATAATGAGAGAGCTATGATAATCTGGATGGTTGATATTGGGTTATTTGGCATAGACTGCTCAGAGAAGATTCTATTTTCAAATCTAGAACCCATACCTAATTTTTGGTTTCAACTTTTCTCTCGTCATCAACTACATTTGGACATCAGTGCCTTGAATTGGAATAAAAAGAAAGTGACATGTAGTGCCAATGGTTGGCTGCTTGCTATCCAACATTTTTGCATACATAAAGTGGAAAGCAAATTCTCTTCTCACATGTCTGTGAAGTGGATTAATCAGCATTTAGTGGCAGCAAAAGAATCTGTTTGGACGAAAGAATCCTTTATAATTTGAAGTATATGCAAATCATTTATATTTATTCTGCAAAACTATTGGAACTGAATTTCATTGAACATCTGTCTCTACTTGCAACAAAAGAATCATTCATCAAAGAAAGAACCATATGTAACTTTCAAGTATATGCAAATCATGTGTATATATTCTGCAGAAAGATTGGGGAATGAATTTAATTAAATATTGTCACTACTTGCATGCTTTTGCATCAATGGTAAAAGCCTATCTACAATCTTCACAATTTGAGGCATGTAGGGTTGATAAATTGCAAAATATGGGAAAGGATTATCTACGCATTTAGAGATGACAAAGAAGAATGAAGAATAAACTGTGGTGACTAGTAAGAGACAACAACTGGTACATGACATTTGATATACGGCTCTACGATTCTGAATCACTTTCTCTTACCAAGTAACTCAACAACACCACCTCATTTCAATTTCAGATCTTTTAGATGCGCACAAGTTGCATTATATAAACCTCAAAAGACATAACAATTCCAAGGCAACTTAGTCCATTGTTTTCGCAGCACTCTTACTTCGGCCTAAAGCGCAACGAATGCTTCTAAACTGTGCCTGCAACTCAAAAATCACCACAAAAGCATTTTCTACCCAAGGCAGGTTAGTCTGTGCACTGTGGGTGATCAAAAAAAGCATCTTCTACCCAAGGCAACTTAGACTTTGGGTGATATGATTCTGTAACTGGAAATATAATGGCTCAGTACCATGTCAACTGCGAGTTTTACAAAATTCAGAGACTTTCAAAATGCGTTGCATAACTACAGGAATGTCCTTTTCACTTATCGTAGCAAAACAACACCGGAACCACCCAGGTTCAATACATTGACAGGATGATCCAGGAGTTATGCTAACCTTAGCTACGTTCAACAACTTATCCCAAAGCTCAAGCTCTCCTTTCTCACTGTATGAGCGGATTAATCCACTCATGTCAGCCCAACAGTAGAAACCTCCACTGCTTTTTGTGCAATTAATACCCAATTCCTTCAATCCTGCCACAAACTTAATATACATCCTGCTGAGCCTTTCTCTATTGGTTTTGATAAATTCCTTAATGAAATTTGTATCTGAGAGCATGGAGATAAGCAAACGCTGGGTTGGAGCTGATGTGGACGAGAATCTAGCCAATTTTTTAGCAGCAGAAAGCACATTCTCATTATAGGAATATAAAATCCCTATCCTAAAACCAGGAAGGGATAGGTCTTTGGAAAGTCCATAAACTATATGAACCCTATTCCGGTTGAAATCCTCCGACTCAATGATTTCTGCCATGCTGACAAACTCTTCACTTCCGTGAGTGGATCCTGCTAATATTTCATTGGAGATAATATGGATGTTCTTCTCTGTAGCAAAGTCCAAGAGGCTGTAAAGTGTTTCCCGATTGAGCAGAGTGCCTACAGGATGTGAGGGGTTTGAAATTATAATCCCACGAACTTTTAGGCCACGTTTCTTTGCCTGGTTAAATGCTCGATCAACAGAAGTTATATTTAAACTGAAGCTGTCTGCACTGCGGCAAGGAACAGGTATGATCTCTACTCCAGTTCGCCATTTTACATCCCTGTCAAGACTGCATATTTATTTTCGAATTCAGTTTCTATAATGGATAAATAGCGATTAAAAGGAGAAATTTATTTTGGAGATAAAAAATTTACTCGGGGCAATACGGTGAGGGAACAAGGAATGCATTTCCCACATCTGCCAAGCAGAAGCTGAGCATCTCAATTGCAGGGGTTGCACCAGCTGTTAATACAATTTGTGATGGGCTGAAAGACACTGATCCTTCCATGACTTGAGACATAAATCCAGCCACAGCCTGCAGTACACCTGAAATTAGGATAGGAGCACAAAGCAATTCAAAGAGATACAACAACAAATTCTATTCCTTTACAGGAAAGCATCATCTACTGTCCACGGGGATTGGAAGAAACATGATGTTCAAAGTTACAAAAGGCACACTACAATACATAGTCATACATAGTAAACAAGTATGTGCCAAGAAAAAAAAAATTTGGCATCCATGAAAATTTATATATAAACAGAAATCCAAGAGTTCATCAAAGAGGCATAAAAAAAGGAGAGATACATTAAAACAATTAATAGAAATCCATATCTAAATTAGACCTTCCATTTACGTTGACTAGTGTACACTCATATACAAATGCAGCTGTTTGATCATTTGAGACCAGGAATTATGAACACAACAAATAATAACAAGAAAAAGTGGCATTAAACATAGCCACTAAAGCAAACATTTAACTATAATGAGACAAAAGTAAACTACAACAATGAGTAAAACTATAAAATAGACTTCATAAAACAATATTTTAAAGTTACTATATGCACATGGTCAATATGGGAAAACTTCTATCAGAAGGTGGATACAATGGTCAGATACATTTTTCTTATCAAATCCTTGCATTTTATTGATACAGTTTGAGGGTCAAAGAATCCAAGCATCACAGGCTATTGAGATATAACTATCCAACTGTCCAGGCCCAAACTAATTTCATCCACTCTTCCATTTTGCAAAGATCAAATTGAAAGAAAGCGGTAAAACAGGCTTTGCATACTAAGCAAGTTTTGCAACACAAAATTTTGTTAAATTTTTAATTCTAATGTTAAGTAGGAAAAAGCAGTTGTAGCATAATGATAAAAAGATCATAAGTGGAGGGGTGAAGTTTGTCAATTAAATAAAAATTAAGAAAGTAGCAATTGCCAAAGTTGGTTAGTTCATATCAGGTCTTGAAATGGAGCGGATTTGACCTGAGATCCTATCCAACCCCAAGTCCATTTTAACGAGTTTGATTGTAACTGAATCCAAATGAAAAACAGGCGGGGTATGGATTTTCGTTGAAAGGTCTGTTGTGGATTCGAGCTGGATGTGATTTAGGTGATTCTTAAATAGATTGAGTTTTACTCAAGACCCGCCCGAATTAAGTATATTTTACTCTATATGGATGCTGTTTAAATTATATATGGGTCTGATATGGATCATGTCCACATGACCCGACTTGAAATCAGATCCAGATATGGATTTGAATCGAAATTGACATGAATTTGTTCCAAACCGGCTCTTTTTCTAGCCCTAGTTCCTATAAACCCAATACCAATCACATAAAAATAGGTAAGAATTTTATTGTAATTTCATTCATTTAAGCACTCTCTGAGATTTAGAAGGACCTAAAATTGGGCCCCACACTTTCACCTACTATGCATGCATTATATCCAGCCCGCATTATCCTCAGGTTGCAATATTTTTTAAGTAAACAAATACTTCATATATGATCAGTGACATAGTTCACTCAAATAACATGATGATTCCTCATTTATTAAAATGATTTTTTTGCTAGGATATTAACAATTCCATAAGCTAATTGACATAGTAAACAAACACCATCGTCTCATGGCTAATAACATCGCATCAAAAATTCAAAATCTATCTCATGTGAGAGTCATGTATTAAGAAAGTAGAGTTTACAGCTGTATAAAAGTTTTGCAACAGACTTAAGTGTCACATAAGCTACTGTTATTAATACACTCATGAAAGATTGTGCAAGTAAACCATCTAAGCAGGGAATGAGATTGACTTCATGACTACATGATTAATTATAATGCCTAGTTAAATTAAAATTTGGTCTCGATATAACCAACAATGTAATATAACTGCATATTGATTGCAATTGTAAAAGTGAATGAGCTTTGCAACAGACTTAAGTGTCACATAAGCTACTGTTATTAATACACTCATGAAAGATTGTGCGAGTAAACCATCTAAGCAGGGAATGAGATTGACTCGTGACTACTTGATTAATTATAATGTCTAGTTATATTATAAAATTGTCTGGATATAATCACAAAGTAATATAACTACAGATTGAATGCAATTGTAACAGTGACTGAGTATATAAGAAATACAAAAACATATAAGCAACAATGAATATACATACTTCTCAAAAAGGACACATTGGATCCATTGAAACAGAGAAAGAGTTAACAATACCACTTTCAACTCCATCAAACCATCAAATGGCTGATAGGATGCAATTCCACTTATACTCAAATCTCTGCCAATAATTGAATCCTTCGCATTCTTCGCTAGCCAGTCTTGAACCAAATCCAAGGACAACTATATTCACCAAAACCCCAAAACTCATCAATCAAAACACAGCAAAATCATCAATTAAAAACTATAAATATCAATCAATCAACCCCAATCAATGTTGTATGTATATGTAATTGTATGTACATGTACATAAACACACATACTCACCTTGTTCTCAGCCAATCCAAGCTGTATAACACCATCAGGATTACTTGCCTCATCATACGGATTTTCGGAAACCCTTTTCAATCCAACATGGTAAGGACTATCCGCTTGCTTACCAATAGAATTAGCCCTGGAAGATATATAAGCTGGCCCACTTGACCCTCTTGGAGAGAGAACAGACCGAGATTGAGACCTGGACAACCCAGAAGATAACTCCGTCACCTCCGACGGCGGTGGTTGTGGGTCCGAACGGTTGCGTTTGAGGTATAGCTGCCAGAAGTAGAAGAGAGCACAGGGTATGACTGAGCCCAGAACGAGGCCTCCTCTGCCCTGAACCACTCCTTGTAAGGGCACGATGACCCTCATGGCTGTAGTAGCTCCTCCGCCGCCACCTGCGGTGTTGGTGGTTGGTTTTGTGGTGTCTTCGTCGGGTTGAGCGATGGGGATTCGAGTCCGGGTCATGGTTGGGACATGGTGAACAGCCGGAATCTGACGACAAGAAATGGTGGTTGCGGTGGCCGGAGGGGACGGAGAGTGCGAAGGAGTGTCGTAGAAGAGAATGTTTTGTTTGTTTTGATGGGGAGTAGAAGCGAGAGGGTGACTGACTGTCTCTCTCTCTATATGTACATGTTTCTCTCTCTATATATATATTCAATTTCAATTTGCTACTGATAATTGACGATTTTGCGCCGTTCCTTGTTTGCGGGGCGGAGAGTGGATCCAGTTGTTGGGATTTTTTTGGGGATCGTGTGAGTTTACCGAAATGTCCCCTTTGGTGGGTTTGTAATTGTCGAAATTAGTTAATACTACTAATTCAAATACTTACCAAAACAAACTTCTTTAAGTTTTTTCTTTTTAATTATTATTAAAAAGGAAAACACAGGCAAAGCCACTCATTATTAGGGATGGCTAATTCCCCATCTCCGTCCCGTCCCGTTTATAGTAGAAATGGGGACTCTTTTATGTAAATGGAGATGAAAATGTCTAGGGCGGAGGCGGGAATGGGGTAAACCCGTCCCGTCCCAATTAAGTGTGAAATTACTAATATACTCTTACATTTAATAATTTATTACTAAATTAGATTTAGTATATATATGAAAATAAGAAAAATTATGTTTTTTTTTAATAAAAATAATATATGTTAATCGGGGTCGGGGGGATAAGGGTTAGGGAGTGGGGTCAGGTATAGGGGTGGTGGTGAAATTTTAAGCAGGGATAAGGGCGGGGATGGGGATTGAAAAATTTAGCGGGGATGGGGATGTGGAATGGATCTCCGCCCCTCCCCATTGCCATCCCTACTCATTATTATTCTAACTCGAACATTCAACTTCCTATTTATAGGGAAGAGGTGACACCATCTCGACTGAGTTCTTAGTATTAAATTTTTTAAGTTGATTATGTATTTTGTATGATGTTTGATTTTCAATCTTGCTAGTTATTATAAGGGGGTTTTATCTCACATTGAGTTCAATAAAAAGAGAAATACGTATACATGAGTTGGGTGTTTGTCCAATTTAATAGTTTAATATTATGAGTTGGATCGCGAAACACTCAGTTAATTATATTTGGTATCAAAGCCAAACTCATTAATTCGGTGTCACGTTTGGAGGGGTCCGAGTCAATAGTCCGGGTAGGCAGGATCGTCTGATCGCAACGAGTGCGTTATATGTTCGGATGGAGAAGATTGTTACAACGAAAAATGAGGGTGTTACAAGTGATGTGAAATTTTCACATATAAAAGAAAAAATATAAAGTATAATACATCATATTTTTGTTGGGTAAATTACATTGACCTCCCATGAGGTTTGGACAAATCTCACACAAGTGAAGCGTTTCAGATTCAATGTTTTGACCTCCCTTGAGATTTGGGTGCATGCTCAATAACCCCATCTCCATCAAAACTTGTAAAAAAAAATCATAAAATGACCAAGTTGCTCTTACACTAATTTTTTTTATGGGTAAAGTACACAGACACCCCCTGAGGTTTGGGGTAAGGACAGCCAGATGAAAGTTTACCTATTTTTGGATAACCACACCCCCTCGTAAAATTTGCCATCCAAACAGAGCCTTAAAATATGTGAAAAGTCTATTTTACCCTTCACTATTTTATTAATTTTAATTATAAAATATCAAAATAGTTAAATGACCAAGTTACCCATTTCATCTCTCTCTACCCAACCCCTTTCTCTCTCCTCCACAATCCATTCACAACCCATTTCTCTCTCCTCTCTCCGTTCTCTTTCTTCCTTCTCTTGCCGCTCCAGCACCACCCACCATCCCAATACCACCGCCCACCCGTTCTATCTCTCTCTCTCCACGATTCCACCCCACACCACTTACCATCGCCGCAATCACCGAAACGGAAGACGAAATCACCGCCGCCCGTCAACATCATCATCATCATCCAACAATGGCTTCCGGCGACGATGGAGGCAAGACATGACTTGATTCCGATGACGATTATGATCAAAGGATGACTCTGGCATCATCTGTTGGTGGTGAAGGGTTATGGCTTAAGGTTGTGATTGGGTGTTGGTGTTTGAGTTTGTGATTGCTCCTCTTCCTCCTCTTCAGTCAATCACCTATCTACCCAAACAGAACACAACAAATCAATTTCTCTTATTATTTTAGATCCAGTCAAAATCACCATGGCTTCAATCTTGAGTTGGTTTTTTTTTATTATTATTATTTTTTAATCTTAAAACCTTTGTGATTTGATGCTGATTTATATCTCCAATTTGTGGAAACGAGATCAAAATTACAGTGTATGGGCCTTTGTCGCTGCCTTGTGTGTGTGGATATATATATGTGCGTATCTGTATATACATATGTGTGTGTGTGTGTGTGTGTGTGTGTGGTGAAGTGAAGGGTTGAAGAAATCGAGGCAGAGCGTAGAGCACCTCCATGTGCGTGATTTGCAGTAGTGATGACATATGTGTGTGCATGTGTAATATACAGACAATATATATATGTGTGTGCATTAGTTGTTTGGGTTGGGTCTGTGTTGTAGGAGAGGGGAAAGAGAAGAAGAGGGAAAGGATTTTGGGTTTATTATATGGGTTTTACCCAATAACCCATTTAAATTTATTTGATTCAAGGGCATTTAAGTCAATTGTATTTGTCAATTTTATGTCAAAGGGTAATAAAGTCAATTCACCATTGTTGGGGTGTCTTAGTCCATTTTTTCGAACTTGAGGAGGTGTGAATGTCCAAAAATAGGACAACTTTCATTTACATGTCCTTATGTCAAACCTCAGGGGGTGTTGGTGTACTTTACCCTTTTTTTATTTATTTGCAATATTTTTTTTAAGAGTGGTTAGCGGTGGTGGAAAAAGGAGAGAAAGTAATAAGAGAAATAAGATAGAAAATTGATTTTTTTTTTTTTTTAGATTTTATAATATATTTTGTATTATAAAAATATATTACATATAAGGGTATAATTAACTTTTTGTAATATTAAGAGAGGCCAGAGTAAGAAACCTCAAACGCTCTGTCCATATGAGATTTATCCAAATCTCATGGGAGGTAATTACACCTATTTTATTTATATACAATAATCAATAGTTGTCTCGCTATAATGAATAATACATCAATTACAATTGGCAACATGAATAAAATAATATTAGTGATACTAAATTTATAGTGAAGTAAAAGAACACCCTTTAGGACAAATTTAGAACATGAATCGTACTAATAATTAATAACATAAAAGCTATGAATAAATAAATAAATAAATAAAAGATGCAATACTTATACAAAAATAATAATAAGTAAAATAGAGTTTCAGAAAAAGTTGACATGATTATAGAGGTATGTGTAAATACATTTAGGTGATACTCCTCCTATTTATGTAAGTAATGACGAAACTAGTCAGTTCCAAGATACAACCCAATTAGGTCGGAATAGAATCTCTTCCATGCACCCATAAACACAATACTCTCTCTATCCCAATTTAGTTGTCCATCTTTCATTTTTAGGTTATCTTAATATACTTGTCCACTTACCAAATTTAAACAACATATTTCACATCTTTTCATAAAATACTCTTAAATTTTTTTTTAAAAAAAAATTCAAACTTGATTATATATATTTTTAAACTTGAAAGGGTAGCTTTGTAATTTTTAAAGAAACAATACAATAATTGCATGTCCCTTTAAAAAGTTTAACTCCTCAAAAAAGACATTTAATGGGGGACAAATGAGTATATAAAATAGAATAATATCTCGTAGAAGAAAGAAGTGTAGAGAAAGACATGGTGTAGAGTTTTCATCTTTTTGAATATATCACCTTCGCCCCATCACAGTTAGGGATAGCGAAATTTCCATACCAAGCGGGTCCCTGACCCACCCCGCCCTGTTTATAACAGGTTTGGGGGCCCATTTATGTAAATGGGGAGGGGATGAGGATTGTATTTGAAACCCCGGCGAGAGAGGGGGGAGGGTAACCCCGCCCCGCCCTGCCCTGTTTATAGTGCATTTTTACCAAATTGCCCTTACATGTAATTAAAAAATAACTAAATTACATAGCTATATGTATAATATATTCACTTTTGAAAGTGAAACCCTAGTTCTATTCCCTTGTACCATAAAGAAAAAACATAGTCATTGTGCATCAAATATCTGTTCATATTTTAAATTGTTATAATTGTGCTGAAGTTTTATTAAATTATTAGGTTGAAAAATATTATGGTTGTGTTGATTTTGTTGAAGGTGAATTGGAATTTAAAAAATGTTATGCGGGACGGGCAGGGCGGGGATGGGGGCTAATGTGGCGGGCCTGGGATGGGGGAAGGGGTTGAAAATTAAACGGGTATGGGGAGCGGGGATGGGGGTAAAAAATTTGACTAGGGATGGGAATGGGGAATGAGATCCCCGCCCCGCCCTGCCCCATTACCATCCCTAATCATAGTGGATGCTTTATATATATATAGGAAAAATATGTAACGGTGAGATATAATAATTGTTGAGAATGAAATCCATGCGGTCCGATACGACACCGTTTTCCTGCAAAGAAGAAAAAGTAGAAGATTGATGAATCTTGACGGCACCGGTGTGGTGCCTGCCAAAAGCTCTTCGATGATCAAGTTAGTCACCGGATGTCTAAAAGAAAGGCAGGGATTTAATAATAGTTTTTTCGTCGTACCTTATTCCCGAGTCGTCTTCCTATTTATCATCACTTCCCTTCTTCTTGATAAAGGAATATCATAATCCTTATCCCATGGAAATCTTATCCTTGATAAGATTTGTCATTATCCCATGGAACTTATCCAATGGAAATCGTTATCCTTGATAACGAAATATTATCTTTCGAAAGTAGAAAAGATCTGGTGGCTGGTCAATACTTAGTTGTCTCTATCGTTAGGTCAAGATAGGTTAGGTTTATTTTTCCCTATCAGTTGCCCCCCATTCCCAAACTTACTCGTCTAGCTTTAGGAATGTAATTTTTTTTTTTTTGCCCCCGGCACTGTTCCCTCGAGTATAGTGCCTGCGGGTACTGTTCATTGAACAATACATTTTTTTTTTTTTGGGTACCCTTGGGTACTCTTCCCATGGGTAATCTTCCTTTGGGTAACCTTCCCGTGGGTACTCTGCCATTGTGTAATGTTTCCTTGGGTAATCTTTCCTTAGGTACTCTTTCCCTTGGGTAATCTT